TTGGACTTGAAAAAGTGTCGGGTGGGACTTGACGAGGGAGCTCCTGAGATAAAAATTGATGTCGAATCACACTCGACATAGGAGTGCAAAGGGTTAACGAAATACTTTTGTTTCAATGTTCCCTTTAGATAATATTAACCATTTACCGTGGCATTCAACTCGACGAAATCCGGGTTGAAACGATAGGCGCCAACGCGGGGTAAACAGAAGACCAGACTGATGCTAAACTGCTTTGCAACAGAGGTTATAAGAACCGTGACCGACTCTTGTGGCGTACTGATAGGAACTAAAACTCAATCGTCATTTGCTGTCCTCGAGCCTGGCTCGTAATGTTTACGTTTGGGATAACCTTCCATTCGCGAGTCTGGCTTATGATATTCATGTTTGGGCCAAAATCTTGGGCCAAAGTCAGACTCGTTAAAGCACAGGAAAGGGTTAAAAACTCGTATCAAGCTTCGAGAAGTGAATTCGTTCGATAATTTCTAAGCTAAAAAAACTACCAAACGTACAAAGTTCGATGGTTCGGTGGGGGAGGAGAATATCCTGGGGAGATTTCATTTTTATCTCGCGTTATCGAGATCCGATTGGAGATTCGAAACGCATACCGGGTCCGGGCGTGATTTAAAGAGGAGCGTGTTATAATAAAAAGGAGAAGGCTGGCAAAGATATCGGCGGCACGGAGCGAAACGCGGGCGCGGATTTGTCGTTGACACGCCGCTTGAATGGGGCCTCGGTTAAACCGAGCGTGTAAAGCTCGAACCGTTGCGTGACTGCAGCGACTATTATACCGGAGGTGGAACGCGCGCGGAGAGCAGCCCCGAATACCGATGCGTTCGCCCCCTCGTCCCCCTCTCTGTACCATGCCGTCAAACCCCTTGAAAAGCACTATTCGTGGCGGAAAGTCCGGTTGCCAGAACGGTGACTAAGAACACGTCGTTACCTTCGCAATTTGCGGCCGTCGGTTTCTCGTGTTTACTCTTTCACTTTCCCCTGCCGTGGCTGGCCTAATGTTTTAGGCCAGTCGCCGTCGGTCGACGCCGCGCACCGAGCACGGCTATTTCCGGCGGAATTGGAGCGCCCGATTGGTCCGCGCGTTTTTCCAATTAGGGGAAACGCACCGAGTAATCGACACGTTAAGGAAAACTATGGAAACTATCCATGTTTGATCGATGAAATTTGTAGCGTTCAGTTTATTTCCCATATCGAATTTTCGAATACTGAGAAAGTTCAAGCAATTAAATAATAAAATTGTAGGTTTGTGATACGTTTTTAGTTAGGTTAGATCGATTCTGCGCACCGATATCGCGCATCCACGGTAGCGCCATCTAGCGTTTAAACCATGTAACGAGACTCACTCTGATGCAAATGTAAAAATCTATATCGAGTTTTTTGTTTCTTTAGAAAACTGTATCAAATTCGTTTGAAGCAATAAATTAATCGAAAGCCATTTTCAATGGGACGTAAAATGCGACGACAAGAACAGTCTGCCGTGGATAGAAATATAGCTAAACGTTCGACAGGTTAAATGATTTATCCTCGAGAGACGTTGGTCAGCTTTTGATCCGGTCGAAGATCGCGGAATGAAATAACGCTCGAGCGGACTCGAGGCGCGTTGATTATTTCTCCCATGGACGAAACCGCCCCGAAAGTCCCCGAGAATCCATTCGTTCACGAATTCCTGGCCAATTACTGACGGTTCCTGGGACTGCGTCGCAGCCGCAGTTCGTCTTCGTGGGGTAACGACGATTCCAACGATTTCTTCAACCCCTCCGCCGCCGCCCCGCCGCGCCGGTTCTATCGGCAAAGATCTCATACATATTAATGGCGATCCGATCGATTTCAGGCTGCGCTCGCTTCTTGCTCTGTTTAGGGACACCGACGTTTCGGCGCATAAGCCCTTCCACCGCCCACAATGGTTATTATGCCATTAACGTAATGAAGTTAGGCGGTGGTAAAGTTCCGACGGTCGGGCGCCGGGTCATTCGAGATACGAAGAACGTGATAAAATAGGGGATGGCCCATAGTATTCAGACAGCGATCCTTGCATATGTTTGTTGGTTAATTGTTCATCGTTCGGTGCTCGTGCCACGACTTAATGAGAAACTAGAGACACAGAGAATCTTGCCACGCCAAATTTCCTCCTGATAACCAATTTTACTTCCGGGGGTGGTTTTAGTTTCTTCATATATCATTTTTTCCAATTTTCTATACAAATTATCGATCTTATAATTTATCTACTGTTTAAAAACTTTTGATCATCCTTCCATTTAAATTCATTTAGAGGTAGTTTTAATTCATAACTTTGAACTACCCTGAACGAAGTTTTTATAAAAATCGATACTTCTTCTAAGGTTAGTTTTCTGGTTTTCTTCTTGAGTTAGCATTAATTCGTTCTTCATTTTTCAATACGACGGGAGCAATTGTAACATCGAACAAGCATTTTACAAAAGTAACGCAATATATTTGGAATTTTTTATAGGAATTACTATTTCATAGAGTAATGGTATTTATGCACGCGTCGTTTTGCAATATCGCGAACAAACTGTTTCGTAACAGCAACGCAATATCCGTGAAACTTCATACCGGAATTACTATTTTGTCTAGCAGTAGTTTCAATTCATATTTTATTTTACAATATTGCAAACATTTCCTATGCACGCTGCAATATTTTTTCGTAGCTTTCCGAAAGTTTCAATTCGTTTTCCAGGTTCGAGGGTAAGTTTTTTACACGATCGATTCAATGTTTTCGCAACCATTCTGCAAGAATAAATGTTTCACCCTTCGGTGCATTTTCATGCTATAGCAAGCAAATTTTTTTCGAACGGTTTCTAAACAAAAATCACACGTCACGTACAGAATTCTCGAATAATATCAGTTTCTTTCAAACAGAGTTTTAAATTCCTATTAACCTGAAATAAATACCAGAGGAAAATCAACCGTTTTCTTAATTATTCCTCCAAAGTGGATTTTTGTGAAATTCCCACAGCACCGTTTCCCCGTATAATTTTAAAATTCGATACGCGTCACTATAGAATTATCAAATTTAACGAGTTTCATGTTCAGCGAAAGCTTACTGAAAATTGAATTTTATATCGGCACGTTCGTAGAATAAAAATGATAAATGTCGAAATATTCGAAACTGGCGCAACGAATAAACAAATACAACACTTCATACGTTATTAAAATCACTCCCGAGTACTCTAATCAATCCATAGCGACGAAAGTTACATTCTACATTTTTTTTTAATTTTAAATTTCATCTCTTGCGTTCGAATTTTCGACAGAAATAATGTTTTTCGATGGAAAAATACACAGAATGTAATATTGTAACACGAGCACTGTAATATTAAAGACCAAGTATAAACGGAATAAAAGGGAATTTTACGTTGATGTTCGATAATGCACTGCGTCTATTGTTTATTGTTCCTGCGCATAGATTGAAGCCAACGGTAAACAATTTGTCTCTTGGGTGGACTGAGCAACTACTATTAAGTCGATTAAGTCGACATACGAGGCGTGTGGTTGATATGTTTAGGTGGTTGGGAACTGAACTCCTTGTGGCAACAACGTCAGTGTTTGCCGATTGTATTTCTTGTATCAACAATTCGGGAACGTACGTCAGGGACCACAACTGCTTTTATTGCACAGGAGACCGAACTACCGAGCGTACAAAATCCCTCAAGTAATTTTTCTACTTTATTACGAGCGTTCAATTAAAAGCAACCCCCACAATTCTCAGTTATATTCCGGCGAAGAGAAATTTAAAGGCTATAAATAGGCAGAATTGGAAAAAAATCTCTCATCTCGTTGCAAGAATTCAGAGAATTTTTAAAAATGGAAAATTTATATTCTGTCGGTAGAGTAACAAAAAAATATAATATTCAGTTTTAAATCTATTAATAACTGTTTAAATTTCCGGAAGACTCCCATCATGAGTCGAAACATTGTAAAATAAATGTTTTATTTTTTTCGAATTGATCCACCCACGCAGAAGGATTTATTTTTTTATTTCTAGATATTCGAACAAAAGAGTATTATGCATTGTTATTGTAGCCTGCGTCGATGTCGAAGAATAAATATTGTACACATAATTATAATACTGACAACACCCCCTAACACCTCCTAATGGCGGTTCGCAAATAATCGCGAGTTTGTCGCACAAATCGTAGCGTTCCAGTTTAGAAAGCGGAATAACAGATTAATTGTCACGACTGTCCGAAAGTGGAGCTAATGCAAATTGGCAAATTATTGCGAGTGACGCCTAAAAGGAGCGCCGAAGCGAATTAGGGTGAGTAAACGCGGTTGAGTCCATAATTTAAGAGAACACGATTCACCGCCACTTTAACGGGTTACCACTGATCAATTGTAACGATGTAATATATCATTGGACACTACGCCGCGTACTGTCTCATTAAAACGCTTACGTGACCGACACGAAATAGTGCAAACGATGCATCCACTCCGCCATACCACAATGTTCAGTGATTATTAAGTAATGGCCACTGACATATTTCTTACGAGAGGGTATCGCGGACATTCGGGTCACCGATTTGGCTCAAAATCTGCATAGTTAGCGCTCACGATGTACAGGCTCGATCATGAAACGTGGACACATCTCGTGGTATGGCTAGACTCATAATTACTAAGAGTAAATATGTTCTATTAAATAAAATTTAGATATTATAGATATTTACTGGGGAAAATCAAGCGTTAAATAATAAAATTATACGCGTGTGATGCATATTTAGTTAGGTTAGATTGATTCTGCGCATCGATTTCGCGCAGCTGCAGTAGCGTCATCTAGTGTCTAACCCATGCAACTAAAAATTCGTCGATAAAAGGCGCGCTTTGAAAATTAGTACGCGTGTATTTAATAATTAAATTAGAAAATATTTAGAATTAAAAATCGGAAATTGGAGACTACGTTTGAATATACAATCGACAGGTATCGAACTACAACAGTATCAACTATGAGACAAAAAACAGACGACTATACTCACCTGCACGTGACTCCACACTTTAGGCTTTGGGCTCGATCTCGCGTTGCTGGTTGCATTCGAACTTCCAGAATTGTTCGACACGCTGCTGGACGATGTTGTGGACTTGATGGACGGTTTTTGCGTTTTTTGAATCTGAGCTGTGACTGTCGTCGACGAACTACGTTGCTGCTGTTGCTGTTGCGCGGATGTTTGTTGCTGTTGTTGCTGCTGCTGCTGTTGCGTTTGTTGCATGATCTGCTGAATGAGCTCCAGCTGCTGTTTCGTGAGGCCATCGTTGCTGGCGCCGGGAGACGTGGCACTCTGCAAAATAAAATTTCGATAACGAAATTATTATAATGTACATCAAAGATATTTACGACAACGTTTTATTTTTTAAATGAATTTTGTTAACCCTATTATATTCTACATAAAAAATAATAACGATCTTACGTTTTTTTATATATCCCACCATTTAATAATTACACAAAACAGATGATTTGTTTAAGACTATCAAATCGTCTTCCTTACATTTACACGAACTATTGTTATTTTCATAAAAAGATTAAACGTCTCGTGTTGTTGGTGTACTCGGACAATTACTACTTTTTTCTACGATTCTTTCTACGGTTCTTTCTATCGCGTAGGGGTGGCAATTAAGGGGGGGGGAACTTCGTTCAAAATAAAAATGTGCTCGCCCGTAGGAAGCGGTCCGTTGTTCGAAAAAGTCGCGCAAACTTCCATGCACGGTGTTCTTTCGTAATTCAAAAAATGGCAGAAATATTTCAGGCAATAAATTTAGCCCGGGACGTGTCCGGTGCATAAAACAAAAATGGTAGAATCGTGGACAATAAAAAAAAAAGGGCAATATAGGCGGACAAAAAGAGGGGTAAAAAAGGGGCATGATGCGCGCGCAGACGCGTGTACACGGAATAATGGTGGACGCCCGGCGATGGGTTGTCCCGGGCGATCGTTTTTCAACGACACTAACGAAAAAGAATATAGACGCGCGTGCACGATCCACGGGACACGGCGAATGCAAGTCATAACAAAGGGACAGGACGCGGACCGGATTTCACGATTTTTAATTAAGAGACGCTCTCATTGGATTACCGCGAGCACGCCTGGTCTGCCATTCACGTCATCGTTCCCCGGCTCTTTCTGGATTCGGTTTCCAGCATCGTTCGGCCGTGATCGCGGAAAGACCGACCGTCGAATACCTCCGTTCCGATAGAAACGATTTGGTTATTACGAATGACATCGCGACGATAAAATCTCGGTTCAACCGGAACACGCCAGCGATATACGAGACAATGAGTCTCAAAAATCATACATTCAACGATTGACAGCGTCGAATACAAATTTGAAAATTAATTAAGCTTTCAAAATCCATTCTACGATTAAAAACATCATTCATTGCGAACGAACAAATACAAACGTTCGAAAATCATACATTCGACTATTGGTAGCGTCGAATAAAAATTTGAAAATTAATTAAAAACAACACCATTCATTACGAACGAACAAATACAAACGTTTGAAAAAGATTGTTTAAGTTTAAGAAATTTATATGTAGTAAAGAAATTATTTCGATTAAGCAAATATCTCGTAAAATAGTTTTCAAGTTGGATCGATCGTAGGTTTTGTCAAAATTGACATTCGACTGTTAAATGTTTAGCTGCGTGTGATCGGACGATTTTTTTAGGATTACAGTGTTTGGCCTGATTTTTCGGGACGACCCAATTTATTAAAATCATCCGATGAACGTCGAAGGAAAAAGCTGACACGAAATAATTGCACCGCGGAGCCACCCGGTAATCACTTTTACACGCATACAACGAATTCACGTACGAATTGAGGTATTCAGAGGGGTTTCCAGCATGCGACGCGAATTGGACCGTCGATTAAAATTGGATTTGTTAATTAGTGCAGGGTATGTGGCGGCGGTCGTTCCCGATTCGACTCATACCTTATTAAACCTTCATCTCGTAATTCCCACGCTGGCGTTTGTCATTGTAGTAATCAGTAGCCAGTTGTTTTCTAGCCGCGATACCGTGCTACGCGCATACCACATTTTTACCACTTACCAACGAATGAAGTTTAGACAAAGTGTCACAATGATCGTACATAAAAATATTAAGTTGAACGATACGTAAATTCTTGGACATCTGCACTCGAATCTAAGCCTGATCATGAAACGCTATTAAGTTATCGGTGCAACGTAGACTATATCAAACATTTGGAAACACAACTCCTTCTATTATAGCCTACCAAAACAAAACGATTAAATAAATGATATTCAATGTGGCAAAGCTCAAACGTGTTCAAACTAGGATTAGAAATAAGCTTGAAGCTCTCCAAATTTTAGTGGTCACTCCCACCAAAACAAAATGATCAAATAAAAGGAGATATACTCGAGAACATCTTTAGATATTCAACGCGTTAAAGCTCAAACATGATCGAACTAGGGTTAGAACTATATGGAATATACGCATTTATTTTGTAACCCGTTCAGAGACGTATTATTTCGTTGGGAATAGACTGAGGTTCCTAAATCAGCTCGAAGCTTTCCAAATTTTAGCGGTCACGATGTTTGAAACGGTTTGAAAACTGGACGCGCGGGTCGCGAATTGGTTAAACGAACTCGCCTATTTCGAACTGAAATCAGAACCGACTTACACCGCATGCAGAGTGCTATCCAAACATCTGTGATTCGATCTGCTCGCGAAAGAAGAGATTTTACGGGCAATGTTCCGCTATAATGCTACCCGAAAACCTGTACGTCTGCGAAATCTGAAAGAACACACTCGACCTAATATTTCATGCGCCCACATTCATCCGTTTTAATTCCTTCTCCCTCGTGGCGCGGAATGGGCGGATAGACTTTTTTGAAACGCGATCAAAATTCATACGATCGATATATTAATATCCAGGACACGAATACAATTAATTAGTTATTTATTCTTCTTCAGAGACCATTTCTTTAAACTCGTTAAAAGGTACCTTTGGGTCTTCGAAGAAAATTTTCTGGGGCAACAACTTGTCTATACTTAAATACATACTAATCTTAATACGGTGGTATTAAACTGCTCCATTTAAATCGGGAATCATAGTTCGTGAAAACAGGAAAGAATTAATTTCACATAAAACCAAGAAGCACGCAATCCCCAAAGAAAGTCTCTGTTTAATTAATTATTCGTTTTCCTTGAAATCTTATTTCGACTGCAGTTTATGTAATGACCTTACGGGACATCAGTTTCATTCAGAGTAACTGAATCCGTTTCACATAACGAGATGCAAACATCTGGAAAATCTCCTCCTTCGAAATACCGATGTAACTCGATTACACGGTAATTACTGATTCATTAAATTAAAATACCCCGGCATTACCTTCAAACTATTTTCAAGGTATGCTTGTTTAACGGCGAAAAAATGTTAATTCGCTGAATCTATTTTACTCCGGGAAGTACCAGCGATCCACTCGTTTAATTATACAGGAACTTTGGCATTTTTTCACATTTAATTTCACGAAAAACTTTAACAAAGTAAACCGCGGTTGTAAATTTCATTTTTGTTTTCCAGCGCGGGCTGAGAAAATTTGCATTTGCAACAACAAAACTGTGCAGAAGGCGTTCTATTTTAATCGACCTACGTTAAAATTATTAGCGTCGTGAATCCATTAAAATATTTTAAAAAAATTTTTATAATATACATTTTGTAACAAGGTGCTTAATTATCCTACTCTGGAATATTTTCAAACTGAAAAACAGTTTACAGAATCTTTCAGCATTATTGTTTTTTATAGAAAAAATTCTTCGCCCTGTTTAACACAGTATTTTAAATACTGTAAATTACGAACTTGTTCAAAGGTAATATCGTGATTTCAGAAAAGACAAGACGAATAATCTGCGCTTAAACGGAACCAATGTGAATCGATTAAAATTAAGACAGCGAGAACTCGCATAATCTAACGTTATTAATCATTTAGTTTCGAACAGCGATCGAATTTCTATGCTACCTATCGTTCTTCCCACTTTTCCACGTATTCGAGGTCCAGCCTGTCATGCACGGTTACAAAGTAGCGACTATTCGTAATCATAACAAAATGGCTCCAGTCACGGTTCACGAAGAGAGCGCATTTATAACCTACCAGCTCACGGATGTTCGTTCTTCAAAACGTCTCCGAAAGTTTGGTGTTATCTCTCGTTGAACGAACGAGCTTCCCTGACAAATCGTCGCTTCCGACGATGGGAGAACCGTCGAGGAGTAACCCGGGACTCACTTTCATCCTTTTGCTACTTTCTTCGTCCAATTCCCACTTTATACTTTCCTTTTCCCCTGCACTAATTATTCAGAGATATCGCACAGAATATTTGTTAAACCTTAATCGGAAAGTAGAATAGGATATCACTTAGGATTTATAACATGGACATACGAGACAATACGTATTTAAATGATAATACATAAAATAATATAAAACTTCACGATTACTCTTATCTTTTTCTCACTTTGTTCATTCGTAACAGAAACTATACAAAACAATGATGGACTAAGAAGTCTACTTTCAGTATTTTTAACTGTCAATAAGATGTCGAGTTTACCTAACTCTAAACCAATTTTTGATACATGAGACAATATATATTTAAATGATAATACATAAAATAATATAATACTTCGCGATAACAGAAACTATACAAAACAATGATGGACTAAGAAGTCTCCTAGTGTCAATATTTTTAACCATCAATAAGATATCGAGTTCACCTAACTCACCACCAATTTCTCGAATGTTTTCAACGACCAACGAATCGCTTTATTTTGCTCCCACCATCTCTCACGTCGTATCCACGATCGTTCGTCATCTGCTTTTCTCACAGGCGACCCACTTTTCCCGACGCCATCTCCCTACTCGCGTTTATGATACTTTTGCGTCTCCGTTCTATTATTTATATGCACACGTAAGAGCGTGAACCGCGGCGAACGTGCACGCCCACTAATAAATTCATACGGATGCTCGAGGTTTTGGTAAAAGTGCGCTGCAAAATTTACGACGCTCCGCATTCCTTGTTTTAATCGTTGCAGCTTAGATCGCGTCTCGAAACTTCTTGATCACAACAAGGTACACGTACGAAAGCATATCGTTCCATTAAAGAAAATTTTCTTTCTATTTTCGAAATACCTCCACTCTTCGAAAGCTTAATTTTAAAAGGATTGAAATTTTTCTGCAACACGAACGTTTTAAAGATCACGAATACGCGATTAACAGATTGTCACGAACTCCCCCGCAACGTGAGCGTCGCTGCATCCTGTTTGAATAAGGGAAC